TAAACTATTGTATTCTAAGTATTGGTGAACCAATGACGAGTTAATTCGTCTTCCCCAGTTAAAATGTTAAGGGAAAGGGGTACACAACCCTGAAGTGTCTAAAAGAAGGGAAATGTTTGATTAGTGAATGGAGAGTTTTTATTGTTTCAGGATATATAAATGTAACTTTAAAAAGAAACTAAAAATGTTACAAAATGGAGGAGTTATTGCAAAATCAAGGATTACAGTGTCTGAAATAAGAAAATTCGTTTTGATTTATAAATAAAAATGTATTACCTACAATGCAGCCCACAATTATTCCGATATCTCAACTATTTAATTTTTTAGAAACGTTTAAAGTTGAATTTTTTTCGTAAAAAGAGGATTTCATCTTCAAACTGCCATTTCAATAATAATTACAACTTTTGAAAAATTATAGACTACATTGTAGGTAATAGATTGTTATTTATTAACCAGCAACAATTTTTTATTTCAGATGTTCCAAACTTTGTCGGCACTAGCGGACAGCAATCAATATTCTAGCAGAGGAGGTTTCGTAATTGATGAATAACTCCTTCATTTTGTAATAAATTTACGTTTCAAAAATTGAAGTTACATTTATATCTTCTGAAAGAATTGAAATTATTCATTTAGTAGTTACCTATAAAAAAATTCCCAATCTTTACCTGTTTTTTGGACACCCCAGGGTGGCATAATTCCTTAATAATTGGTATGAATTGATCACTGTATTTCCTTCTGGTGGTCTTCGTAATTAATTCTCGCAGTCTTCGGGACTGTCATTTGAAAATTCATCACTCGCCACGGTGCATACATACAAAGTTCGTTTAATATATCTTATAGGATGCATTGAAAAAGTGAAAAATTGCAGTAGTATTTCTGAATATTGTTTTAATGAAAATTTGACTTAATAACTTTCACAAAATATGGTTCTGGTGATACAAGTTAAAAGAAGAGAAATCTGAAAGTGATACAAGGCAATCAGTTGATACTTTGAAACATTATAAGTAATGAAAACAGTGTCCATCCGTAATTATTTGTGCAATTATGTTTCATTTCGCAATGACAGAGAGGCGATGATTAGCGTTGAAAGGAAAGAAGGTTAATACAGATGTCCTGTAAAACAACGGTTTAGAACTATCCAACTGGTAGTCTAAAGTTGCATCAAGAAACTACTTAATTCCTTGGTCGTGTGTCTTTCATTTCTTCGCGGTGTCTTTCACAAGAATATCATTATTCCCATGGGAGCAGCTGAACAGCAAAGATTGTATGAGATTATGGCTGTTCATCTCGGAAGCTAATAGTAAAATGATTACTCCGTTTGGAATTGTACATAATTCGTAATTTGAACTTCTAGCGGGAGATAAATTGTCATTTAAGTGTTTTAAACTGTGCTTCTCATTACTACAATTATCAGAGTCATATTATTATAGTTCGAATTTTTAGACAGCAGAAAGTGAAATAAGGAGTTTCTATTGTATTTGCCCGATGTACACCACCGGGACAGATAAAGATGTTTTCCATAATATTACTACAGATATGGTATTGCCGGAACAAAAAGTCGCAGATTTTCAATGTTTCCAAAACATTGTCCGACCGAGTAATCTCCCTGTGTTCGGGTCGCGTAATGTTCGATGCTTAATTGCCGAACGCGAGTTTAATCACACCTTGATTTATTCAGTGTGAAATGCTAAGAACTAGTTTTATTTGCAACAGAGTGATACTTGAGGTGATGTCGCCACGAGACTATCAAAATACTAATTTTCGTAAGACCAACTGCCAAGACTTCCAAAAAAGGACGCGCTCCTGCCTCGTTTCCTTAGTTTTATCCGCTCGGCCAGTTGCTGATTGGTGGCCGATTTCTTCTGGGGGTTATAGGTGCTGACTCCTCATTGGAGGAGGTTGTTTAGATAGGACGCAGCTCTTTCCAAGGAAAGGGGATTGTTGCTTAACATTAGAAAACCCCCATTTTGGGGTTTTTCCCAGGGGTTGCCGCGTGACTTTCCACCGCGCAAGAGGACCGGTACCTCGGTCTGGCGGCCAAGTGTAATTGCACAAGTTTATGACGATAATCCGCCAAACCGAGTGTCTGAATATTTGTGGGAGTCGCTGTATTGTATATGTATATGTAAAACATGGCAGCTGATATTTCGATAACAATTTACGCAAAAGCCACAAGTATGTGTGGCGGCCCATGCAGCGCGCACGGCGCCACATTGTAAACACAGTGCAGACTGCGAGACGCACGCAACGAACGTGTCTTTCGTCGCTGTCGATGTCGCGGCGGGCCGATAAGGATGGCTGTCCTCGGAAAGCGGGGAGACACTTGAGATCCGTTCCGAGGGCAGCCAGGGTCCCGACCGACGACGCGAAGGGATTCAACCGCCAAAAGTCGCACGAGCGACATCAGACATCTGGGTTTTCGAAATAAAAGATTTAGGTTAGGATAAGGTTTAGTCTCCCGTCACCCACATATGCATTGTTTTCGATGTCAGGTACAAGAATACGTAATCAAAAATATACGTTTCCATTTAAGAACTTAAATGTGACCTTTACAGAGCATTTCAAGGTCATTACAAGGTCAAAAAAATACCACAGCAATGTGCCGCCCTCTATACCCTACAACTTTCGTTTGAAGTACACTTCCGTGTCCTAAGATAAGCCGAACATACTGTATGTTAGAGAATTCTTCCCGACTTGCTTGCCGCAACAGTTAGTTGTAAAAAATGAAAAATGAAAAATAATACGAATGTCTTTTAAAATTTTCATATAACTTTGTTTATACTTTTATGGTAGCGGCACCTTGACTTAACGATTATCCTCAAAATTTTTTCAGATCTTTTGGTAAGGTGCATAATAGTTAAAACAAAATTAAAAACCAATTTGTTCAAGGTACATATTTCATTTAGAAAAGTAACTTTTGTTCGAAATTGCTTGCTTTATGTACTAGTTAAGCGTCTAACTGCGGTACCGCTATAAGCTCTTCAGCCGTAGGTCGAGTCCCGCTTAACCTAACTTCTTTTTATTACATTAATTATATATTTTTTCGATTCCTAAATATATGTCAATGAATAATATTTATTCCCAAAGATTTTGAAAAGATTTGAAGAATATTTTATTATTTCGTTATGCAACCTGCTTGCAGATATTAAAAATAAGAGATTTTAAAACGAAACTCGTATATTTATTTAATGTGGAAAATATTAAACAGTACGGTAATTAAGAGAATACGTGGTTACGGAAATGATGGAATAAAATGTGCTCCAAAGTTATTTTTGTGTACATCTAAGTTGAAAAAAAGTAATTTTATTTTCTATTTATCATAGAATCCAGATTACATGTTACGAATATAAGGAGAGTGAAAAAAGAAAATCAATAAAGGGTCTGTATATTTGTATGCAATTCTTTTCTCATTATTGCAATTCTAAGGCTCGCGATGTTAAGTGGCGCCTGCAATGCAGTTGTTCGACTTGCACACGCGTCGCGTGGTTACTTTCATTCAGGATGATTCACTGCTTCAAATTATAGATACAAGAATCTTTTTAAAAGAACCAACGAATGTTAGAAAATGATCTACAATTGGCAGTTGGAGAAAAATTTTAAAATAGAATTGGGGATCGATTCGTTGTTACAGGCAATAGAAGTAAACCAGCAAATTGGAACTTTTAAGCAATTGTATTGTAATATTTTACTTTATTTTTCTGAAGAATGGAACTATTACAAATATGTCATATTCCTTCAGTTTTTAATCAAACATTACTTGTATTCCCACAGAAAAATCTTACTCCAGGGACAAAAGTAACTCGCGAAATTAATTTTCTGGCATTATTGGCAATATCTAAATGTCAAGATTAATGGAAACATTTTTTTTAGAAAAACCCTTACACTGTCAGTTGGAAAAGTTTAAATAAATATTATTGAATTACTCGGGAACATGAATTTTTTGTGAACTAAAAAGGACTAAATTAAAGAGTTTTTTTAAATTAAAAAAGGACCAAATTAACAGTTTTTGTTAAACTAAAAAGGATGACCTCCTTAAACTAAAAAAAAAAGCATGAATGAAGTGTTTAATGAAAAATAATTTAAAAATATTAACTAA